AAAATAGATAACCTACGCGTAACGTAGTTTACCTAGAGAGTATATTACAATAGGTGTTTAAGCACCTATTAGGTTAATTACATACTTTCTCTCTTTTGTACTAGTGTTTTACGCGCTTACCTATATATATTACACTACTCTTATCTAATCTTACAAGAGTAGTAATTACAATTCTAATTATCTAAATCTATTGTTTCTAGCTTAATTTCCTCTATAATTAGTCTTAAGCTTCTAGTGCTACTTCTCTCTAGATAAAGAAGCTACTTAGTACTCTAGTAGAGTATAGATTATTTATAGAGTATTTAAAGAAGAAAGATCTTATAAGAAAAAAAGTATAAGATTAGAGATTTTAGATAAGAGACTATTATCTAGCTTAGTCTAGTAGTATTATTAGCTTCTAGTACTCTAATAAAGCCTACTTCTACACTAGTTAAGATCTTTAAATTTCTTAATACTAGTCTATAGAACTAGTCTAGTAGTATTATTAGCTTCTAGCACTCTAATAAAGCCTACTTCTACGCTAGTTAAGACCTTTAAATCTCTTAACACTAGTCTATAGAACTAGAAAACTTTTAAATTTCTTAATACTAGTTTATAGAACTAAGAGACTTTTAAATTTCTTAACACTAGTCTATAGAACTAAAAGACTTTTAAATTTCTTAACACTAGTCTATAGAACTAGAAGACCTTTAAAACTAAGATTATTAGTAGTAACTAGAAGAAGAAGGCTATAAAGACTTATACCTATAAGAATCTTTAAGTTAAGATTTCTAGCCTTAAGATCTCTACTATTACCTTACTTTTCTCTAGCTAGCTAGATATAAGTTCTATACGTCTATATCTCTATTATTATATACTAATAGTATTTAGACTATAATAATAATATATAGTACCTAAAGCTTAGATTCTATATCTAGGTTAATAGTCTTATATAGAAGAAGAAGGTCTAACTAGCTATACTTATATTCTTAATTATTTTACTTCTATCTATAACTAGCGTTAGTAAAGTTATTAAAGATTGCGTTATTAAGTTTACTACGCTTTCTACTTTATAGGCTTTTAGACAGCCTTAACTCTAGCTTACCTCTAAGACTACTACTACTAAGATACCTTCTATCTCTATATCTCTACACTAAGAATATAACTTCTAGATAATTATTATTATTAATAACACTAGCTATAAGCCTCTAGGTTTTTTAAGTCTATACGCTACGCTACTAAAGCTATTATTAACTACCTTCTTTTTATTACTAACTCTCTTATAATTATTATTATTAATAATACTAGCTATAAGCTTCTAGGCCTTTTAAGCCTATATACTACGCTACTAAAGCTATTATTAACTACCTTCTCTTTATTACTAACTCTCTTATAATTATTAACCTTACTATATATATCTACTATAACTAGTATTCTATAAATAACTATAGACTATATAAGGCTATTATTAAGCACGCTAGCTATAAGCCTCTAGGCCTTTTTTAAGCCTATACTACCTAACTTTAATATACGTACTTCTATAGAGACTATATATTCTATAATTAACTACTCTCTAGTTAAGATTACTAATACTAAATACTACGTTCTTAGTAAGAGAGCTATAAGAAATATAGTATACTAAGGCACTACTACTAAATTAGGTAAGTACTCTATTATTGCTACCTTCTCTAGTAAGAGTATTATTAGTACTATTATTAACCTATAAGATAATTACTAATAATAGTATTAAAGCCTTTAAGAAGCTAGTAATAAGTTAACTTAGGCTTACCTCTAGAACTACTATAGAGGTACCTTACGCTTCTATAAGATAATTACTAATAATAGTATTAAAGTCTTTAAGAAGCTAGTAATAAGTTAACTTAGGCTTACCTTTAGAACTACTACTACTCTAGCTACTACTACTCTAGCTACTATAGAGTATCTTATACTTCTATAACTCTATACTAATACTAATAGTCTTAACTTAGGCTTACCTCTAGAACTACTACTACTCTAGCTACTATAGAGGTGCTTTATACTTCTATAAACCTACACTAAGAATATAACTTCTAGATAGTAGTCTTTAAGTACTATATATTTATAAAGACATACTACTTTAAATATATTACTAGCTTTCTTATTAGCTATAATAGCTTTTAGCACTTAAAGGTTACTACTAGTAACGTCTACTACGCACTAAAGTAGCTAGACGTCTAGACTAGTAGTTTTTATACTATTATACTCTAGTTAGCTTATAGCCTCTATTAAAGTTAAAGCTATATTTAATACTTTATTAAAAGCTAGCCTAAAGAGCCTAGCTTATCTAATTCTTCTCTATTAGTAAGAAGTAGAGAAGCCTAATACTATGCCTCTCTTATCTAACTCTTCTACTAAAAACTCTAAGTTAGTTATCTAGCTTCTCTAATTCTTTACTATTAGTAAGAAGTAAAAGACTACTAGCTCTATATTTCTCTTTCTAGAATATAGCTAGTAGCTTATCTATTAATAATTACTAGTAGAAGTTTAGAGAGTAGTAAGAGCATAGAATAGTATATATAAAAAGAAGTATATAGTAAGAACTTTAATTCTAACTAACTAAACTCTACTTTCTTACTATAGTTAGTATTTAAACTCTAACCTATAACGCTACTCTAATCTAATACCTAGATTATTTCTCTAAGTAGTACTCTAAATAGCTAGAATAGAATATAGAAGCTAAACGCTCTAAAGCTAGTAAATATCTATACGTTATAGTAGCAGCACTATATAGGTACTACTTACTTATACCTTATAGAGAAGAGAAGAGAGCAAGCTATTCTATATCTATTATTATCTACCTATCTATCTAACCTCTACTACTATACTCTTACTACTACTGCGTAAGGTTATCTATAAAAGTAAGTAGAATTACTACCTAGCTTAGCGTAACCTCTATCTTCTTATTATTATTATTATTATTATTATTATACGCTAAAAGCGTAGAAGAAGTAGAAGTAGAAATAATAGGCGTAGGTATAGACGTAGGCGTAAGCGCAGGCGTAATTATTAATAGTAGTATAGCTACTATACGCTAAGTGCGCTAAGTAAAGTTCTAAGGTAGACTATATTACTATTAGTATATAGTTACTAACTCTAATAATAGTAGTGCTATACTTACCTGCGCTTCTAAACTATACTAGACCTTAACTTACTCTAGTAGAGCTTATTCTATTACTATTACTACTATTACTACTACGTAATAAATTATAGTAGTAGTACTAAGATTATAGCGCGTAAAGCGCTAAACAGAAGACTAAATAGAAGAGAGTTAGAAGTAGATATTTTAAGGTAGTTACTACTATTATTATTATTAATATAGAGAGTATTATATAATAAAGAATTACTATAGACTAAAGTTTTAATAGCTATAAGTAAGATTATAGTCTTAAAAAAAGTATATTTATTACTTATTACTTATTACTTATTACTTCTTACTTTCTATTAATTACCTACCTTCTATATCTATATACTATATTACTATACTAGTAAAGCTAGCGTTGTAGCTACTAATATAGAGTCTTTACTTATTATAACTTTATATTTCTACTAGCTCTCTTATACTTACGTACTATATAAAGCCTTAAATCTAATTATTCTCTATTAATAATAGCCTAATATAGTACTACTATTTAGTATATTAGTTCTTTACTAGTCTAGTAACCTCTAGCTCTTAACTAAGATACCTACTTAACTACTAGGTAGGTAATTTCTTATATATAAAGTTACTATTTTTTTTATATTTAAGTTTAAGTCTTACTTATTACTATCTTTTTTTTTACTTATAATAAGTCTATAGTAGTATAATATATAAAGGCCTTAAGAGCTTATAAGTAGTAGTAGAATACTTATAAACTTAGAATAGGTAAGTAGTAGTAGAATATAAGAAGGCCTAGACTTATAAGTAGTAGTAGAATACTTATAAACTTAGAATAGGTAAGTAGTAGTAGAATACTTATAAACTTAGAGTAGGTAAGTAGTAGTAGAATACTTATAAACTTAGAATAGGTAAGTAGTAGTAAAATATAAAAAGGCCTAAGCTTATAAGTAGTAGTAAGATACTTATAAACTTAGAGTAGGTAAGTAGTAGTAGAATACTTATAAACTTAGAATAGGTAAGTAGTAGTAGAATATAAGAAGGCCTAGGCTTATAAGTAGTAGTAGAATACTTTTATTATACTATAGTAGTAGAATACTTATAAACTTAGAGTAGATAAGTAGTAGTAGAATACTTATAAACTTAGAATAGGTAAGTAGTAGTAAAATGCTCTTATTATACTATAGTAGTAGAATACTTATAAACTTAGAATAAGTAAGTAGTAGTAAAATACTTTTATTATACTATAGTAGTAGAATACTTATAAACTTAGAATAGATAAGTAGTAGTAGAATACTTTTATTATACTATAGTAGTAGAATGCTTTGCGTATACTATAAATACTATAGTAGTAGAATATACTAGATATTCTATTATACTATAGTAGTAGAATGCACTAGATATTTTATTATACTATAGTAGTAGAATGCTTTGCGTATACTATAAATATTGCAGTAGTAGAATATACTAAATATTCTATTATACTATAGTAGTAGAATGCGCTAAATATTCTATTAAGCTATAGTAGTAGAATATTTATTCTATAAACCTATTTCTTAATTATTATATAAAGAGATATAAAAGTAGTAGAATGCTAATAAATTACGTTTTTAGGTCTAATTATATTTTCTTTATATTAAAATTTGTACAACAATCACTAAATAGGCCTCTAAGCGACCGTTGCGGGTAAACTTTCCCGGACACCCTCCCGGTTCGCCAGCGGCCGAGCGACCCACGAATCTCCGCACTTGCAACCCACCCAACTACCGCCAAACATGGTAGTTGAAACGACCCTGGCGCAGGCGCGTACCTAGGTACTACAAATATACCAGCTTCGACATACGTCCAGAACCTACGAATCCAAAAAGTGCAACATAAAACCGCCAAAATGCGCGTCATCGTCTTTGGTGCATCGGGCGTCCAGGGGCGTCATCAAGTCCACGCCCTCGCCCGAGCAGGCCACTCTGTCGTCGCCGTGAGCCGCAACCCGAATCCCGTTTTGGTAGACGGAAAGGACGTGGAGACGTTTGCCGCAGACTTTACCGACCATGATGCCATCGCAAGAGTGCTCCAAGGCGCGGACAGGGTCTTTCTCAACCTCCCGAGTACCTCGTTCAACCAATCCGAGCCCATCATCGCGGCGGCCAAGTACATCGGGGAAGCCGCAAAGAAGGCCAACGTTCCGTTGATTCTGTTCAACACGAGTATGCCGGTACCGAAGTTATCTCAAGACATCGTAGCCCAGGAAGATCGGAGGGAGATGAGGAGGTTATTGAGGGAGTCTGTACCGACCATCAGTATTGAGCCCGTGGTTTATCTCGACAATCTCCTCGAAGGCTGGGCTCTACCTCCGATCCGCGACCGCAACACCGTTGTCTACTGCCACAAGCCCGACCTGCGCGTGTCGTGGATCTGTCACCACGATGTCGCGCAGATCATGATGGCCGCTATGGAGCATCCTGAGCTTGCTGGCCGCGACATCCCTATTGGCGGTGCTGAAACCGTTGTTCTTTCTCAACTAACCGAGAAGCTATCGAGAGCTTGGGACAAGCAGCTGGGTTATGAGAATCAGACTGTTGCGGACTTTTGCGATAAGATTGGCAAGGCGATGCAGGGGCGTGGTCTGGATACGGACACGATTGTTAGTCAGATGTTCAAGGCGTATACGTATTACAACGAGGCGGAAGATGAGCCGTTCAATGTTGATATGAAGCCTGTGGTGGACGAACTAGGAGTCAAGCTGACGCCAATTGAGGAGTGGGCTAAGAGGAGGAACCCATGGGATGACAAAGGCTACTATTAGACGTAGAAACATGGCAAATTCTAACATTTGTTGGCGAAGTCGCTATCGACACGGTATCAAATAACAGACTCCAAAGTCCACCCAATTCGCCCATTCCCATCTTACGACCTGGACTCAGAACACCCATCTCCCCCCTCACATACCCCCCGGCAGCGAAACCCCCATCATAGCCCCCTCCGGACCATCCTGCGGCATCCCAAACTTGCCAATCCCCTTCCCCCTCCTTCTCTGCACCTCCAGCGCAACCTCATTCGCCTGCTTAAGCATATCCTCACTACTCCCCTTCCCGGGCACAAAAACCAATCCCAGATCCGGCGCTGGAGTTCCCGTGCCCACGAAATTCCCCTCCGCGTCCTTGGCATAATGTGCATTGTAGTAGGAGCGCTTCATTTGCCGGATTATTATCGATTGACGCACTTCGCCTTGTTTGCGCGAGAAGGGGTTGTAGTTGTGGAGGGAGAAGGCGAGGGTGCGTGTGATCATGGGGACGGGGATTGTTTCGTCCGGGTCGCCTTCCGAGAGGGTGGTTAGGGCGCGGGCGACGGTTGTGTAGGTTGGTGGGGAGGATGTGGTGGAGGGGTAGGTTGGGGGTGTGTCGGGAGTGGAGGAGGGTGGGGCGTAGTAGTCGTTTGATTTAGGGGTTGCTTCTGTCATGGTGTTGGTTGTAGTGGAGTAATCGTGGTATTGTGTATTGCGTATTGTGTATTTACTTGGAGAGTTTGTGGCTTATGAATGTAGGTAAGACGTGTCTGACAGCTATGATAACACCCCCACCAAGCAATAGCGTCCTCGCTTGGTTATATACCCGACCATCAATAGTAGAACTACCTTATTCCCACGATCTTCCTCACTGCCTCCAACTAACCACCTCACATGGCTGAGCAAACGAATACGAGCTGTGCCACAGCCCCCCGCCAGGGCCAGCTGTGGCTAGCTTCCAGCTCCTGCCGAGCTTGACACCACACGATTAGGACTCCAACCCAGTCGCATAACCCGGATAAGTGACCGAGACATGTAAGCAGAATCACCAAACAGGTAAACCATCCTGCGACTCAGCCTATCGCAGTGCCTCGGTGGCGAGTGCGCAAAGGCGGGGGGTGGCTGAGAGGGGATTAGCGTTAGGACCCTTTTTGCAGATCGGATGATGTCATTGTAGGAAAACTTTCCAGAGCGATTGTGGCTTTGGTTGCTTGTATCGTGTAGTATTATGCTTATCCTGTGTTCAAGAAGGCTGAGGCGACTTAGTTCAACGTGTAGTTTGTAGTTGCCATTTGATCATCCCCGGAATATAAAGATAGAATTAAGATGTCGATCTCAAAATCCGGGGTTATCGCGGCGATGATCAGACAACGCGGACCGAACGAAGAGTCATTCAGTAGTTTGGAATATCGTGTGACCGGTGAGAGGAGGTCGCAGAGCTGCGCGTCTGTGATGTTCGTCCTTTACCACAATCGAGAATACAGGCACAGTTGACACGATGATACACAACCGTTATGTAGATGATGTCTTTAGTTTGATCGTAATTCATTTCATTTATTCATAGCATCGCTAGTATTCTGCGATGACATAGGCTCTCCAAACGCATAAATCAGTATGCCTTTCTATCTTCAACGTGCTCAGTGCACATACTCCTCCTCATCAACATCCTTCCCACCCTTCTCAAGCATGTGCTCAGGAAGAGGACTAGTGAACGGCTTGCGGCTCTCCCTAACAATAGCCGGGATGCTCGTACCCTCTGTGAACATCATCTCCAGCTCCTCCAGACTGCGGCCCATGGTCTCAGGGTAACCGAAGTAAACGACGGGCAGAATGATAGCGGAAATGATAAGGAAGACGAGGTAGTACTGCCACCCAATAGTCTCAATAGCAACAGGCGTGACCATATTGACGACAAAGTTCCAGAGCCAGTGGTTGGCAGTGGAAATACCCGCCATAGGCACCCTTAGCCTCGTCGGCGCAACTTCCGTGCAGTACAAAAAGTTCGCTCCGAGGAACCCAATCGGGATGAAGAAGTTGAAGAGGAAGACAAAGAGCGCGCTGGCGATCTGGGCCGATTGGTTTGTCTTGGGGAAGCTGGATGCGACGGCGAGAGCCAACATGCAGGAAGCCATGCCCGCGCCGCTGAACATGAAGAGCTTGCGGCGCCCGAAGCGGTCGATGGTGAAGAAGGCGACGAAGCAGGAGAGGAACTTCCAGGTTAGCGCGCCGCCGGAGAGGATGCGCGAGGTTTCGCTGTCGAGGCCGAGACCTTGTTGGAAGATGATCTGTTGATCTGTGTTAGAACTGGGTTTTATAGCCAGGGGGGCGTGGACTTACGGTTGAGTAGGTGGAAATGAGGTTGCTACCGCACATTTGCTGCAGGAATTGGAGGAAGATGCAGAGTGAGAAGCGGTAGAACAGCTTGTCCTTGCCCATAGTGAAGATGTCGCTCATCTTCGCTGCGCTGCGGCCAGTCTCCTCGAGCGCGAGTTCGATGCCGCTGATCTCAGCTGTGATCTCGGGGTCGTGCAGATCCAATCCCTTGAAGCTGGACAGACTGAGACGAGCCTCCTCCACGCGTCCCTTGTTGACTAGCCAGCGAGGTGATTCAGGGATGCTGAATACAGCGGCCATGGGAACAAGGGAAATGACGGTGGGAATGGCGAGCGGGATACGCCATTGCAGAGGCAGGTTATCCTGTTCGAAGAATCCAAGGTTGATCCATGCTTCGAGCAGGTAGCCGAGGGAGATAAAGCAACCGTCGAGCACAACGTGCTTACCACGGTTGGCAGACGATGAGCATTCGGATTGCCAGACTGGGACAGTAGCGCTGAGAGCTCCGACTCCCCATCCTAGAATGAAGCGGCCGACGACGAATTGCGCGAGCTGGAAGCTAGTGCATTGTAGGATCTCGCCGACGAGAGTCAAGAATGCGGCACCGAAGATGAGTTTTCGTCGTCCGAGGATGTCGCCAATCCAGGAGCAAGACAGAGCACCGAAGAGAGCGCCAATGGTGAAGGTGGCGACAACGGCACCTTGCTTGGTCGAATTGCTGCTCTTCTCAGCGCCGGTAGCATCGATGGTGTTGATCTCCGGGAAGTGGTCGTTCCAGTCACGGAGAGACAACAGACCGCCCACACCAGACTGGTTGTATCCGAACAGCACAAAAGCTGGCAGAACGACGAGCAGCAGCTGTGCCGTCTGCAGAGTCTTTCCGGTGAGTCCCATGGTGAAGATTGACGAAGGGAGGAAGATTCAGAGGGGAGAGGAGGGGACTACAGAAGTAGACGAGATGGACAGCAGCTCAGTACTTGTACTCCAGAAGCGCACCCCACAATATCCTGCAATGTGGGCACACTACTCTGGAGACAAACTCCAGTCAATGCATTATTGACGGCCTTAGTGCTCCGCCTTTTGGGGGTAAACACCCTGACCCGGAGATACAGGTATAGCCAGCCAGCGAGCTGCACCGGATGCCTCGATTTAGCACCGACCCCATACACCGCAACACTAGCAGGTAACCCTCCACAAACGGCCTCGACTTTGTTGACCGGTCTGCAGTCCGTGCTTGCGGGAATTGACTCGCAGCATGACCACAAAGCAGGGCGCGTCTGCGTCCGCGGCCATAGTTCGGCGTCGCTCGCCTCAAAGCGAGCGGCTGGGGAGGAAAAATCCTTACGCCCTTGTCGCAGCGCTATCATGACGGTTGAGGCTTCATGTGGGCCGAATTTGTACTGAGGCTCTGCGGCAGGATTTAAGCTTTTCCAAGAAGACGTTAGGTGCTTAAAAACCTTGATACGCGTGCGGCGCGATTGGTTCGCATTACGGCCTCGGTACTTGTTCTATCCCCACCATCGCCGTGCGCGCTCCGTAACGTCGGAAGATGGCAGCAGGCAGCTCGGGCGAGAGACGCAATTTGCTCAACGCGCGTGAGTAGTGCGCCGGCCCAGATTTGATGATGAAACGACAGCTGGATAACCAGGGAATCTGCCTGATTGCTCCACACCCGTGGGGTCGGCTAGAAGACAGCAAGAAACCGCCGGTAAGTTTGAAAGTATGTACCTGCGCATGCGGCGAGATAAGACTTTGCGCGAGACGATAGTGTAGCTTGTTATTGCTTGGCCAGACCTCAGTCGATGTCTGACCTGCTGATGGCTTTGCATGAATGCTCAAACTCTAGTACTGCTTGGTGCTCTTGCTAACTCTCATAAGCTGTGAAAGCCCGTCAACGGATTCGGCTCTCTGTGTCCCCGTCTCGGTGTTCACACTCGAGCTCGTTCCTTCAGGCTCCGCCCCACTTCGTCCCTCCGACAGTTCCGAGTCAGCGTCTGGGGTTTGACCAGCCTCCGGCCTGCCATGTCGGTCTTTGACAGCGTCGGCTGTCTGTTCGGCTGTCGCTCGTCCGATCTCCGCTAGATTGGTCGGTATGATGCCATACTCGAAGCGATCGATGACAGCTCGCTCCACTGCGATTCGCGGTTCCTCCACACTAGCTTTGTAATCCTTCAACAGCGCAACAGCCCTCTCGTCGCCCTTCAATACACACCTGTGGATCAAAGTCTCCCACGTCTTCCTTCTAGGCTTCAAGGGACCCTTTTTGCCAGCTGTCGCACCCGTTGACCGCATCTCCTCATAGTAAAGCAGAGCATCTTCCAGGTCACCCGATTCTAGGCACACCAGGATCAGGCGATCATACGTAATGCGGTCCGGTTTGAGACCCAACTTGACCATCTCGTTTGCGAAGAACATGGCAAGCTCCTTGCGAGCGGATCTATGGCAGCCTTGAAACATGATGTTGAACGTTTCTGTGTTCGGGCCAGCATGAGATACCGTGTGTAGGGCTTTATAAATCTCGATGCCCTCTTCCAGGCGCTTGTTTGCGATGCCAGCTTTGATGCATGCATTGACGGCAGCGGTGGGAACTTTGCGGCCAGAAGTCTCAAAGTCTTGCAGATATCCGAAGGCTTGCATGGGTCTGCTGTCATCGTTGTGACTTTTCGCGGACAGATACCAATAGAGAGGATCACAGGTCCCAGCGTTGACCTTCAAGTTCGAATCAACCATGATGAGGATGACAGACAGAGCTGCGTGGAGGTCGTTGGCGTTTAGGTACGTGGATATGAGCAGTTCATAGTGTTGCGAGGTGAACGTTGTACCCCGTTCGGTCAGGACGCGAAAGACATCAGTAGCGAGCTGGATGTCTCCCTGTCGTGAGGCGAGAGTGAGTACGTGCAGGCAGGCGCTGGTGCCAGGCTTCAGGTAGCCCGGCTGAACTTGCGCAATCCATACAAGGCTCGTCTCTGCGTACTTCATGATGTTAGCAGTTTCCCTTAATGCATACAACACAGGCTCCGCTTACAAGCTGCTTGTGCGCCGCGGCATCTAGCAGCGCTCCCCAGAGAGCGATACTGAGCTGGACGGTACCGGTTCCGCTACTCTTGCTGTGCACGCCCTCCTTGAGACTCAGCACGTAGAATGCTTCCTCGACTTCGCCAAACTCCAGCAGCATCCATATAGCCTTGTCAAACAGCCAGCTCTCCACGCGTGCTTTGTTCCTGACCATCTCCTCCAGCAACTCGAGTGCGTGTTCGAAATGTCGCTCGCGCAGCATGCCGGCTATGATGAAGTTGCGCGCACGGTCGGATGGCATGAACCATCGCGACTTCATGTATTCGAGTATGTCGGTGCGGAGGAGGTAATCCGGGTGTACTGCAAGCACCTCAAGCACGCATTCACAGCCCCGCGCATCCAGCAAGATTCTTGGCTTTCCGGTCAGAGATCCATCGGCCTCGTCCCAGAAGCCCATCTCCTCCAGCACTTTGCGGACCTTCCCCGCGGTGCCATTGACGGAGTCGACGAAGCTGTGTAATACGGCCGTGTACATCTCCCGGTTCGGGAATTCCCCTCTGTCTTTGATCAAGACCCTGCAGATATTCATGACTTCGTCGAAGTTTCCCTTGGCACCCTCGGCCCGCACATGTTCGTATAGGATGTAGGTCGGGAGCTGGGCGAGCGGAGGTCTATCTCGTGATGTGTGCGACGGGAGAGTGCGAGGCTTTTCTGCAAAGGACCGGAAGCCGTTCAGAGCGGCCCCAGGCTGCGAGAAGAAAGTGTCGTTCGCTGCCGAGGGTGCGCTGGAGCGGTTGTAGGTACGCAGTTGGCGGCCGCAGTGGGCTATGGCATCTTTTCGCGATGCATTGCGCTGTAGCAGTCTAGCTCCTCCTCTTGCAACAGGTGGTGTCGTTCCAGCGTTCGACGGAAACCCCGGACACAGGCATCGCCACAGGCCGTCGTTCACGAAAGGGCGGGGTGGCATTGGCGTGGGTGATGTGCCTTGCCAAAGTTTCAATGCGCGCAGCGTAACATGTCGCGTCCGTGCGCGCCTCGGTTCGACATGTCTACCTGCGACTTGTGCATCACCATGAGCGAAATATGGGTAAGAGCTTAGTTTGTAATTATATTCACATATGCACTTTCCAGATGCTTTTCCTATCCCGTGTCAAGCCGCAAAAAGGGTATATGCGCCCAAATACCAACACGTCTCATGCAAAGCCCATGCCCGTCCGTACCATATTATATCGAAACAGCGTCAGGCGTAGCGTTCCTTCCCATCCCTAAATACCTATAGTTCGTCGTAATCCGCACTAACACGTGCTCACCTCCTCACCACTTGCTCTGAAAGAAGTTCTAGTACCTGTAGAAGTTAGTCTGTGCTCACGACAAAAGAAATGTACGACATACCTTTGGTGATATCACTTCCTGGTTTACCAAGTGCTTGCTCATGATCTTGACAACCTCCATTTGCTCCTCGTAGGTGAGTCCGGTGATGGCTGCTTCAATCACCCCACCGACTGTGGTGTGGTGCACGGCGATGAAGCTTGAGTAGTAGAAGAAAGCAATGGAGCCCATGATGAACTGGCAGTCCATGCGGTCAGTCATGCCGCCGTGACCGGGAATAGAGTCGCCAAAGTCCTTGATCTTGAAGGTGCGCTTCAGGCCAGAAGCGAAGAAGCCGCCGAAGGGCGCGATAAGAGACGCAAAGGTTCCGAGCATGATGACGTGGAACTGTACTGGCATGATGTTGAAAGTTCGCGGAATGGGGAGACCCTCTGGAAGGAATGGAACGGTGTAGTCGCGCGCGATGAAGACCGGGTTTGGCCTGCATTCGAGGCCGGACCAGATGTTTGCGCCCAGATCGTTGACAGGGCAGATGAAGTACTTGTAGTCGCCGAGGAAGTGGACAACGAGCATACCCCAGATAACAGTGAAGAACCAGGCGCCGAGGAAGCCCTCCCATGTCTTCTTGGGTGAGATCTGAATGAGGGGTGTCCGTCCAAACGTAATACCGCAAAGGTAAGCGAAGATGTCGTTGGTAATGACCATGGAGACGGGGAGAATGAACCAGATAAATCCCTCGAAGATGTTGTTGATGACGAAGTGCGCCTGTCCAACGATGAGGAAGAGGGCCATATGCGTCCAAGCAAACTGGGTGAACTGGAACTTGTAGTGGCCCTTCTGGAGCGAGAAGACGAAGAAGACGAAGCCTGGAGAAATTAGCACAGCTATGAACCATGGGATTGGTGGACATACCAATAATGTACAGCATGAAGGAGATGAACCGGTGGTGGGTAGCCAGGGGCAGCAGCAGACGGTCCACCATCAGGACGTGCTTGAAGTAGTAGATGACACTCTCGCCGTAGAGAAAGTACATGGCGGTGCCGAGGAAGTACCAGTTCAGCGACTTGGTGAAGCGCAGGCTGCGGGCCTTGCTGGGCACGTTTGCTATTGCGATGACCTCCTTAAAGGATATGACCTGGACTGCCGTGACAATGATGATTATGAAGAGATGACCCGCGCCGAGGGCCCAGAAGAAGCCGGCAATCATGACGAGGGTCCATGTTGTGCGCGTTATGAAGTTGGCCTTCTTCTTCTCGTACTCGGTCTGGGGGGGCTGTTCGGTGGCCTGGCGCTGTCAGCTGGGGAGACGTGGGCAGAGGGCTGCCAACGTACGGGAGGGGCCGTCTCTTCTTTGATAGTCGGACTGCCCGGGTCGCTGTACTCGGACATGCTCTGCGAGGGTCTCCGCGCCCTGCCGTTGCTGGCGCTGCGGACCTGGTGGTTGAACTTGACGTCCTTTCTCGGGCGCGCCATGGTGAAGGAGGAGAGGGCGGTTGCGCCTGGTATCCTTGGGGGGTATAGGGGCAGCCGGGGCGAGGCCGGAGGGGAAGGCGCGATGGGTGAGGGCGGGGTGGGTGAAGGAGGTGGTGTTGGCGGCAGGCTCGACTGGGCCAAGTAGTGAAATTGGCGGACAAGTAACCACGGGCAGCTTGCGTCATGGCACCGCCGCTTAGCTTAGCGACCCTGCAGCCTGCATGTGAATTTCCCTAGCACCCAAACACGCCTGCGCCAACACGCCAACAACGCGTCCATGCGCCCCGCATCGCGACCGCTTTGGGACATGCTCACGCGCAGGCCCGCTGGCAGATGGACCGACAATGGCTGACGACGACTTCGACGACTTTTCCGACGATGACCTCGACGACCTCCCCGCCGACGCCCTGCAGCATCTCGAGGCGAGCGCCATCCGCGCGACACAGCACCAGCCCGACACGGAGCCAGAGTCCGACTACGGCCCCGACGATGGCGACGAGGTAGTCAATCTGGACGATGCGCACAGTCCGCCGCCTCTATATGCGCTGGACGAGGAGGGCTACGATAGTCACATCGATGACAACATCAACGATATTATCGAACATTGCCACTATGACCAGATGGAAGTGGAAGAGCAGCCACGCAGGTCTCAGGCTGACCCCAATGCGCTGCTCCAACGCATCAAGAAGGTGCGACACGTCCACCTCAGTCTGTAGACGCCCCGCTGATCATCGCAGTTAGAGCAAGACAAGGCGCGCGAGAAGCGAGAAGCCGAGGAGCTGAAGGGGAAGCTGCAGACCAAGGCGGGCGAGGCCGATACCCTTCGAAGGCGCTACGATGCCGAAAACCGCAAACACGAGCGCCAGCTGGCGGACCAGCAGCAGTCGCACAGCACCGAACTGGCCAAGCTGCGTGCCGAGATGGACAAGCTGCGGCGCGAGAAGGAGTCGGTGCAGACGGACAACATGTTCAACCAGCACGAGGCGCGAGAGTCTGTCATGGCCCGACGGCCTGGCAGGACCATGCCCTCACGACCCAAGTCAGGTGCGCAGGCAATCAGTCCAGCCGGTACACCTAAGAGGGGGCAGAAGACGAGAGGTGCACTGGGCGATGGTTTTGATGACGACGACGTTGTCATGGCATCACCGTCAAAGTACCGCGAGAGGCAGAAGACGGCGACGCCAAAGCAAGCCGGCAAGCGGAAGCGGCAGGCTATCGACCAGAGCCCCATACAACTGCCTGCGCTGCAGCTGAGCGAACCGCGAACTCGGCCAAGAGAGACAGAGCCAGCACCAGCCGTGGGTCCTATCATAGACGCCGCACTGCTCGAGCACTTTCGACGCGACGACCGCCGATTTACCCTCCTGCACCGCCTGCTGTCACATCCATCGTCAAACGGCACAGATCGGGTCCTCGAAGCACTCACGTCGCATGCATTTCCGTCCAAGCCATCCAAGAAACTATCTTCGATCGTGTATGATGCTCTGGCGAAGATAAATACGTCTGATGTGCACGAGCTAGCACTGCAGATATGTCACATCTTCCTGGACCTGTGGAAGCGGTGTCAGTCCGAGAAGTACTACGCTCCGACATCTCTAATACTCGATGCACTGCACTTCGTCCTCGCATGTGAGCCCATCGAGACCGCCGTCAAGATCACCGAGCGCGCAGTACCGCTTATAATCGCTTTTGTTGATCTCGTGGCGGACCCCATTTCTAAAGCAGCTAAAGGGGGTGAGAAGGCCGTTGCCGATCTCTACTCCCCGAAGCAGCAAGAGATTGCATCTCACATCGATGTTGAAGACTGTCTCGAGTTGCTGTACCTGATCGCGAGCAGCTGCGTGTCCTCAGTAGATTCCACTGCAATAGCTCGTCTATGGCAAGCGATTCCTTCAAGCTTCGCCATCATGCTCCTCGTCAAAGAGCAGCCACATGCCCAAATTACGCTCATGTTGCGCATACTTGGCACCTCTGCACTGTCCACCTCAATAGGACCCATCACATTCGCAGATTCCGCCCAAGACAACCAAGCGAGTAACGAAGACGCCCTGGTCCATCGTCTCACCAACCTCTTCACCGAGCTGCCAAAGCCAGTCCCAGATCCTTTGGCGTCTTCCGATGAAGATTTAGCTATCTCCGAAGCAGATCTCTGGGACCTTCGCCTGCTTGTCATCTCGGTCCTGACGCAGTTCTCCATCCCAGAATACGGCTCTAGTCGTCTAGCTCAGAACGGCCTCTGCATTGGTCGACTGATCAAGTACCTTGACCATTGTGTCACAAGCCTGTATCGACATCCCATCTCACCGACTCAAGAGCGAAAGGTCGATTCCATCAATGCGACTATGAAGCTGATTTATCACGTCGCGACGACGAATGCCGATTTTGACATCAAGAGCAAGTTGGTGAATACGCTAGGTGGTCATCATGCCTATCTCGTTGCACTGACGCGGTTGGCATTCAGTGAGGGCTTAGTGCTAGAAGCGGGGATCGAAGATGAAGTCGTCAACATGGCGCATGACATTCTAGACGAGGGACTGAGTATGGAAGAGGGAGATGCTTTCGGCAAGGTGTTCAGCAGTGGAAGCACTGTCTAGACACATGTTCAGTATTTTCTCAAGAAGGAGATCATCAGCGCAAGCGACTTGGGCGATGGCTCTGATTTCAACTTGCACATTTTTCCGCAAGATGACCCCAATTCTCAGCTCAAGGACGATACCACTTTAATTCCGCGCTCATCCACAATCATGTAGAACGAGACACGGATATCGGCATCTTGTATAATCACTAGTTCGGCCTGCATTGCTATGCATTGCTATAGCCTAGGATGATATTGCATTGGGTGGCGTTTATAGCACATCAATCGCACACTCTTAAGCATTCAACAACCATCCATCTCTACACCCTTCCCTTAATCCACCCCAAAACCATCTCCAAAACCTCCTCCCCACACTCATCATTCAACAACTCATGCCTCCCCCCCTCAACCACCCCAAACACCTTCTCCTTACTTCCTATCCCATCCACAAACCTCTCACTCCCCCTCCAATCACAATACGCATCCTCGTCCCCATGCACCACCAACGTCGCCACTGTCCACTCCCCCATCTTCGCTCTAACGCTGTCTGCAACATCCACGGCCGTCGCAGCCGTTAGGAAACATATCGATTTCTTAGAGTATAGAGGATCGGACAGGTATTTCTCGATCTCGATCTGACGGCGTGTGAGGCCGGAAATGGGTACTGCGCGGCCGGGGATGGAAGTTGTGGGTATTGTGCGTGCGAAGACGCCGACGGCTACGCGAGCGAAGTAGGGGAAGGGGCCTGGGAATGCGGGACTGGTTAGGATCACTCCATCCATCCCCTCTGGATCTTCCACTACACTACCCGCGGTTATCAACCCGCCCAGTGAATGCCCGAATAACACGACCGGTCTCCCGTTCCCTTGTTCAACAGCATAATGTCGTAGTGCGAAATGGTCGGCTACGGCTTTTCCTACGTGGACGACGGCGCGGGTGTGACCGGGGGAGGTGCCGTGGCCGTGCAGGTCGAGGGCGTAGACGGTGTAGTGCGCGGCGAGGAGGTGCCGGATGAGGGAGGAGTGGGAGGTTAGGTAGCGGGCCGAGTACTCTGCGTAGCCGTGTTGGAGGATGATTGTTGCGATGGGGGGTTGGGAGGGTGTCCAGATGTGGAAGGTTGTGCCGGAGGGGAGGGTGTGGGTTTTGTGGTTTAGGTTGAGGTTTGGGTCGAGTGGAGTTGTGGAAATTTCGGAGGAAGGTGCTGAAGGAGTGGGTGGTTGTGACGTTTGTCTGCGGTAGAGGGATGGTACGTTCAACATCTTCAGATTTGCGAAATTGGCGACCTTAGCATATCATGCATTTCTAGAGAAGCTCTTTTGCTAGGGATCCAGTTCCAGAAGATGGTGAGAGCCTAGCATTGGTGTTTAGTGAGACAACGAGGCGAACGAGTGTAGGTGTGGTCTGTGAAAGGAGCTGCCATCACCGTCCAGATCTAGAAGTCGCGATCATCGTGTTACGAACAATTCACAATATGAGGGACTTTGTTCCTCTTAGATTGTAGAAAGAATGCCATGTTGAGGTAGAACAGTTTCCGACACGTCCAGGGTTACCTACCTCGGGTGCTAGGCACCTCACATATGGCCCACGTGGGGTGGGGCACGATGACAGCTTTGGGCTTGGTCTGCGGGGCGCGCCTGGCGCCTGCTGCATCTCTACTTCATCCTCGAATATTCAATACACCATCAATACAGCAAATCATCCAAGTTGTATGTTTAACCACACCAGCGCGTTATGAGAATGCATGCCGGTGCCGTACTTCGGCCTGCCGCGCACTCGCCTTATCACTGTCGGCGATGCAATGCGGTGCGCGGCAGGGCAAGCTGTGATAGGTGTATGCGCGACTTTCGCGCATGACTGCGCAAGACCCAATGGATAGACGTATATAAGACGCTGCCTTCAGCCTTCAGCCTTTCGCACTTCTCGTTGCCTACTCACCTCAATCTCGCATCCCCATCCCTCATGAACTACACACGAACAGACCCAAGTCGTACACCAAAAACTCCGCCAGTCCTTTCCAAAAATAAGGTGCATTACAGCATATCCTACAGCCAATCCTTGGTTGAAGCGCCGCACAATGTCGTCCGATCAGCCTCATGCTATCGAGATGTCCGATTCAGTGGACACTTCCGATTTGGTCCACCCTGATGTCCAGCGTCACATACACAAAGCGCTGCAGACTCCAGATACAATTCGCGTTCTTGAGCTTCTACCAGGGTCGTCCGAATCAACCTTGTCGTGTCGAATACTTGAGATACACCGAACAAATTCCGATGTTGAGTTCGAAGCTATCTCATACGTTTGGGGCAGCCCTAACCCCGCATGCTATCTACACGATGTGGAAAGCAACGGTCTGTTGCGCATCACAGAGAGCTTGTATCTTGCGCTGAGGGCGATGCGCTACCCGGACCGAAGCCGGATCCTCTGGGCAGATGCAGTCTGCATTAACCAGTCGGATAACGATGAGAAAAGCCACCAAGTTAAGAATATGGGCTCCATCTACGCGACAGCGAGAAGGGTCATGGTGTGGCTGGGTAACGAAAATTTCAGCGAAGCTTTCAAAGCATTGGAAGGGCTTGAAAAAGCAGCATATACTGTCGATTCAACTGCCAACCTCGAGTTTATCTGCCCTGTCTACAACGTTATGATGAGTGTTCTCAGAATTATTGGAAGACCATGGTTCACTAGACTATGGACCATACAAGAGTTCATTCTCGCTAAAGATGTGCGTTTCTGCGCTGGCAACCAACATATCAGTGACCTTGTACTGGAAAGGGCCATCAAATATACCTCTCCCAGAATCACGGAGGTGGACTCCGCATCATCACTTGCGCTTGAATTCCGCCACAGCGTCAACATGTTCAACATGGTGAAAAATCTCTTCTATTTTCGTGTCGTGTGGGAAGACGGCTGTTCATACTCTGGCTCACCAGGAGTATCACTTTACGAATGTTGTCAATGGGTACACAGTATCCCTCCTAAGTGTACTGATGAACGGGATCAGATATATGCTCTCCTTGGACTGGTCCAAGGACCGACTAGGATAGTTCCCAACTACAGTCTCACTGTTACAAACGTCTTTCTCGAGTTCACCTGGTCGGAAATTACCGCAGGAAATATAGACATATTACGCGACGCGGATTTCCGAGGACAAGACGACTTATATCCATCATTTCTCTATCGACCACATTATACCTCTGACAAGATAAGAAGTGATACCGAAGCAAGCAGAACGGGTATGAGCCGAGTTACCTGTGCGGAATTGATTCGGCCTGCCTCCATCAAGATTCGAGGTGTAATCGTTGACCGCATCAGCGGCTGTTGGAAGCCACAGATTATGTCACCATCTGAGAGAGAAGCTCAGATACGACTTAAGACAGACATACATCAGACTTTAGAAGATTTTCTTCGATCTGCTGAAGTCGTATCGTCGTCCAATATATGGCTCAAAGATTCAACGGGCCTTCTCCATACTCTTGGGACTAACAACCCAACCGGCACTGCGATTACAAATCTGCTGGAGGTGTTCTGTAAGATTCAAGCCTGTGCGGATCGAATCACGGACCAGAATCCGACGAGGAAGAATATGACACCAGAAAGAATTCAGAAGCAATTTTGGCGAGTTGTCACCTGGCCCAAGCACCCCCCATCACCAGCCATGCCAGAGGACTTCCGCCATCTGCCTTCAGATTACGCTTGGGATAATGTCTACTCCTACATATTCACTACTGTCAAAGGGTACATGGGCAGAGCACCCAAGCAAGTCATGGTTGACGACCTTGTGGTCATTTTCGACGGGGGCAGCGTACCATTTGTGCTAAGACAGGCGCACGATAGTATTGATGTGCGTTGGAAGTTAATCGGGGAATGTTATGTGGATGGTTGGATGGATGGTAGCTACTACGGTCATGAAGTGGTGGACGATGTCGACCAATACCTTGCGGCAGCGGACGCGGAAACCGACACTGACTTCTCCTATAGGAAGAAAACATTGCTTAGCGAGTATTTCGTACTTTGCTGAGGCCGAAGAAAATTGTGACCCGACATAGTTCCAAATGAGATTTATCCACACATTCAACAGCACTTGGCTGTCAGTCAAGAACGCATATATTGTCAAGTATGAGCAAGGTTGCCAGTGATGTCGCTCTCGAAGCGAGCCAATACATTCCTTTCGCACAGTGTCTGTTGCAACTTGCCTTCAATCTGTCCAATCAAACACTCTATCACATTGCAGCTTGTACTTCCGCGGACCATCCTGTACCTCGCTAAGGATCACGGTCCGCGGCGAAGCCCTGCATTTCCCCACCATCGGTCCCGCATAGCCTTTTCCTTCACCATCACATCCCACCACCCATTGACTGTACTCGTTTAACATGCATTGCACGGCGTCGTGCATGTGCATGTGGCTCGATTGTTTGTCATCAAGCTTGTTTTGTATGGCCTTTACCCCACGCAGTTATAAACAAACATGCCCACTCTCACTTGTCCTTTGCAATTCACACCACAACCACGTCCCCGACATCGATACCAGATGATTCCATCCAAAAACGATAACATAGTCGCTACCAGCTCGCCTGACGGCTCTGCGGTAGATGAGCGCTACGAAGCGTTCGATGGAGCACAAGATCGCGAGCGCTTATCGTGGAAGAAGCAGGCGATCGTCGATCTAAAGCCTTCACTGCATCGCGATACGTATGGATACACTGCGCAGATGTTCTGAAAAATGTACTGATTTTAAACAGATACATAGGAGCGCTTTTGTTCAACATCTGCGCCTTCATCCTGCCAGCTCTCTATAGCACCTTGTCGAAGCTATGGATTGCGAACATCGACTCCTCCATGGTAGTCACCACAGACACGTACACCTACATCGGCGTTGTCGCAGAAGTCTTAAACGAAGGTCTTCCGCGCGCTTCCTACCTCGTCATCGGCGACAAGTCCAGTCGTGGTTTCCGTGAGCGCTTGCAGCTCACTCACACTCTGATCCTCTTCCAATCACTCCTCGGCCTTATCATGAGCATCGGCTTCGTCGCAGGCGCTTCTACTTTCGCGCAAGGCTTTGTTCCTGTCGAAGTGAGAGACGTGAGTGTCACGTATATTCGCATCTCTGCGTTCTCTGCATTTAGTTCGGCAGTGGAGTATGCGATTTCAACGTCAACTCGCGCGCTGGATAAGCCTGATGTCCCACTCATCATCAGTTCCGTCAAGTTCGCTGTCAATATCATTCTGGACTTGATCATCATCTCTAAATTCCATGTCGGGAGCATCACGCCCACGGTGAACATGCAGGCTGGTATCTCACTGGCTTGCAACCTCAGTTCAGCCTTCGCAGGACTGGCGTACTTTCTCTACACGACGAGTGTCAGCTCCAAGTCGCCGGTTCATAGCGACACATCCAGCCGCGGTACAGCTCCTTCACTACCAGCCCTTGTCACACTCGCCAGGCCAGGTACGATCTTCTTCTCGGAATCTGCCATCCGGAACGCACTATACCTGTGGTTAGTCCACGGTATTGTCGGACTGGGCAGCGACTACGCAGCTGCTTGGGGTGTCTTCTCAACCATCCGATGGGGACTGATAATGGTACCCGTAATGGCACTGGAGGCGACCACACTGACCTTCGTGGGACACTCATGGGGAGCATTGCGCTCGACCATTGTGAGCATCTCACAGGCTGCGAAGCTCCAAATTACACACCGACAGTTGTGGAGCGTTGTACGCTGGTCACTTTACTCTGTCATCATAGTCTTGATGGTGGAGATTCCACTCTGTCTCATCATGTCCTTCGCCGGTGCTGAGCCTTTCGCACGATACCTCTCAGGCTCTGAGGAGGTCTCACATATAGCTGCGCGCATGTGGCGCACCATCGACTGGTGCTACATCATGTATGGTGTGTCGACACAACTAGCTGCGATTCTGGTATCGACGCGCCCAGCTTGGTATCTCTACCAGTCTCTCGCATCGAATGTCCTTTATGTCTTGCCATGGGCAATTGCGTGTCAAGTGGTTGATCTGAATGCAGGAGATGCTTGGACTTATCACAGCTTGGTATTTGGTGGAAGTCTGGTATTCTCGTTCTTCACTATCATTGCAGTTGACGGAGTGTGGGCGCTCAGGCTGATGAAGGGAAAGATGGATGTAAACAGGGCGTAGTCGCGGAAAGAACACATGACACCGACTTCGGGTCCAGGGTAGATCATGAACCATTGTGATTCTGCATGTATTCACATGTGGCAATGTATCTCTCTCATTATAGCTGGAGCGCCATCAGTCTCTTGCATTTTGTCCCCATAGACCATTGTTCAGCCCTTCCACACTGCCGGCTTCGGCTCTTTGTACAAGCTCAGATCGTTCGGCGTAGGAAACCAGATACTTGGGTCATCTTCAGCGTACGCATTTGGGAACCTGACCATCGGGCCTGGACTCCCATCGCCGCCTCCCACAATCTCCACATGCGCACAGTTCACGAACCATTGACTCTGTCCAAGAGTCATGGACGGCATGAAGTGCTCGATGCGCAAGAGGTATTGGCCCGAGGGCGTGGCAGCGGGAATCGTGAAGTTGATAGCGAGTGTATCCATAGTCGACCACGTCGTCTTGTCCGCCGGCCCTGCGTATGCGATCTTGAAGAAATCTCCCTTCCCGTCATATTCCATCAAACTCTTTGTTCCATCCGGCAGTTTAGAAAGAAACACTTGCCCAGGCCCTTCGTGGAAGATGTATCCTTGGACATCACCTTCGTAGTAGGGCCCAGACACCATGAGTCCAACATCGCTCCCAGCAACAATGGTCGCTGTCTCTATAGTATCGGCGTTGTGGACGGGGAAGGAGCCGCGGCCGCATGTGACGTTCGCGTTTTCGGGCCCATAGATGGGAAAGGTCTTGAGCCAGAGGTCATTGTAGGTACCGGCGTTGCCAGAGACGTCGCGGACGTATTGGAACTCTCGAGAGATGGTGTTGTTTACTATGAGGCGGTTGAATACATCTAAAAGGCTCGTTAGCAACTAGTTCTGAGGACAAAGATGGAAGTACGAACAATGTGCGCTAGCCTGCTGCGCAAGGGCCGTTGCTAGCCATGGAAGGACGACGGACTTCATGACTGCTGCTGCTTTCCGATTAATAACTTTGCTGAAACTTAGCCATCTCAGCCTGTCTTATACCACCGCTCAGTCTGAGCCCGGCCATCACCGATCCTACTTTGACGAAGGCTCTGCTGGAAGCACGGCGCTCAAGATGAGAGTCCTCATGACCATGCTAATACATGCGCAAATCCTTCTTGCTGATGGTGCAGCTGCCTGGTGCCAATGGTATCGGTTCGGTTGCTGCCGATAGTACGTGGTCCCGATGTGGTAGTTTTTAGATGAACTCCAGATTGCCGGATGGGCTATGTCGACCCAAGCCCAAGCGGGGTAGGCGGCATCTCTAGAGTGCTCATATAGTGGCTATGGGTGGTACCATTCGTACTGGACATGTTTCAGTCCGGGTAACGAGGTGTAGCGTGCCGGGTAGAATGAGATCGGACGTGCTGTTCTGGGTACCTGGGCTTAGGTGAAAGCGTTGGCGGCAGCCACGCCGTTGCGCGCAAAGCTTATTTGTACTGCGAGTGAGTTCCTTCGTAGCGGTATGATGACTTGATACTTTGCTTTGTAAATTTTGTCGAGGTTGTAGTCAGACGCTGCAGGCGGGGAAAGCAGTCTAGAAGGGACGCGTCGCGTACGCGTGAAGCCGATGCTCAAGAGCGTGTCGCATCGTTCCCACTCGCGTCAAGCATATGCATTAGTAGCCTTCGAAACACTGGACCTAACAAACAAATTGGCGCTTGCATGTCAAAGGAATCGTCGTCACAACTCGAGTGCGATGAGCACCTGCATGCGCAGGAACGATGACAACATCAAGATCAAACTTGGACCCCTGACTAAGCTTCGGAATGAGCCCCACACAGCATGACACGCGTTCCGCAGCAGCGGCGATGAACAACAAACTCATCATATTCGCCATCACAGAAAGCAATAGCGCGCAATCTTGTACGCGTATATTCATATACACGGCGATCCAGATGTCTTACCTCAATGACAATGGCACAGCAATCCCCGCTCCTCCTGCTACCGGGTGAATTGAAGAACCAAATAATAGATTACATCTTCACCCGCGACCCAGGCACCGCACCACCGCCACTACAGCATTCCCCATTATCACTATCATCAGCATGCCGCCAACTACATGAAGAATACCACACCCTCGCCTGGACCGCAACGATCTTCACTCTTCCATGGTCGTCATCAGACGACCTAATCCGAAGAACCAGTCTACTCCCCCCAACATCCATGTCCAGCATCACGAAACTCCAGATAAAACTCCCATCAGATCTCACCTCACTCTACACCCCAGACATAAACCGGCGCCGCGTAAAACCCTTCAACTTCGCCCGCGCCAGCCTCACCTCCCTAGAAGAACTCTACATCCGGTACCGCCCCGAGCACACAGAAAAAGGCATCGGCGGACCCGGTCGCGAACTTATCGTGCAGATACTCTGGCGCATCATGTGGGAAAGAGATATCAAGCGACTACGTAAAATCTGCATTGTGCATGATGGCGCGCAGCCGTTCCTTTCCCTGTCCCTATTGTACAATATGTTGCAGAACTTTACACCGCTGCAGGTGTCGAAAAGGTGGAAGGTGCGATCGGATCTTGAGCATGGAAGACTGAGGTTTGAGGAGTGGGGTGGTGGAGAGAAGGGGAGGGGCGTGGATGTTGTGGTTGGGTTTAGCTTTTGGGAAGCGGAGGCTTATGTGGAGGTTTGTGAGATTGTTCTTGAGGTATGTTCGATTAGTTACTTGCATCTGAGGGGAGGGGGTGCTGTCAGGAGTAGCTTGCGGTTCTAGCCACTGTTCAGGGCAAGCAGATGCTGACTTCAGGACAGGAAAATCATGCTGAGGTCATTGTGGCTCGGCGCGCAGAGTGTTTGTACGTCACTCCGTTGCGAGATATGACTGACGACGCTTTGAGGCGAGAGGTCGATAATCTCAACACCTTGTTTCCTGTGCTAGGAGACGAGGAACATGTGCTTCAGCCACACGTGGAGCGTATACGTGCCACGTGTGCGGTAAGTAACCGAGTATGAGAAGAGACGACGCAAAGTTACTTTGATTCGCACGCGAAGGCCGTCGTGGCTAACGGCTATACGGATTGGAGATATGATGTTCACCGAAGACGTCCCAGTCACCTGACTACGTTCCCGTAGCTCGATCAGAAGGAGCACTACTCCGCCATCTTCCGAGGAGAAAAGGCTTTACGCGCACGCCGACGGCTGGGTTGAACACTAGGGACCGCTATGCATTGCCGATTGCACCCAGACCCTCAGACACCTTTCTTCGTTCCGAGATCGGCTGGCACATCCACGCGTCGCTTCCAGGCCATGGCGGAAATCCGTCTCGCCACCACTTCCAGAGCCGGGTGGTGATAACAACGTGGTATCTTAACCATCCCTCGGAACCTTCTCGACCGGCTGAATACCGTATTCGCTTTTCGACGCGAAGCAATGTGGAGTAGGTCCCAGAACCAAGCCGACGGCGTCAGCATGCCAGGTGGGATACGCGTCCATGGTGGACCGGGTGGCCTCCGTTCACACCAACGTCGCTTTTCAATAGTGGAAGTATGCCGGTCACCTTGTTCGAGCTAGTGCTGAGTGGAAAGACTGTACTCGGGGAGCGCTTGCGGCGGGAAGGAAGGGTCGGGACGACACGGGAAGGATTGAGATCTTCGAGACGGGTTGGTGTTGAGAAGACAAGTGGCACCTTGCGATGTGTGTCCTAGCAGGGAAAGACGGCCGGGAAGGAGCTGACCAACCTTCGTCTGCTATCCATCCTCACTACTCGGGTGAAGCTTTACCCTTGCCATGTTCGCAGGAGGAGTCTTTGGTAAGGTCAGCCTTACCGGTCAACGCGGTCATGTCATCCAGGCCCTTGTTTTGCCGCTGGAAGTTATCGATATCCGCCATCAGAGCATCCTTCACGGGTCACTCGATCGAAGAGTACATTTTGCGTGCCATTTGATAGGCTCGGTACCTTTCCTGTTATCGTGGCTCGATCACGATGAAGTACGAGGCGTGCACGGGAAGAGCGTCCACACTGTCCAGTCTGGATACTCGTTACCGTATTCCATGGCTCGGCCCGATTGCGCTTGGGGATAGACTGAACTCTTGCCAGACTCATGTCTCACATGATACACCCACCCTCATCATACTCGCTGCAAGTGGGGTCCGTTCCATGGCGGTGGATTCTCGGCCTGGGTATATCATCCCAGTCTCCCATGTGGCTGGTCCACTGGCTCTGGCTGGATGGATGCGAGGTTCTATTGGCTGACGAAATGGTGGAGACGATAACTTGGCTTTCGATAGAGTGACACGCTCAGAGCTGATATGGACAAAGAATGGCCATGCACTTCGACTGGAGGTTTCCCAGCTGCGAACTCAGTGTCCGTGTCGTAACCGAGAAGGCCCGCGAGACTAGGCAACGGCAGGAGTGCATTTGGGTATAGCATCAGCCAATAAAATAGACAAACAAGTATCGGAACGGTAAGAAACTGTAGACATTGTCGGGATAATCATGACCAGGGAAGCACGCCACAGGACGGATGTAGGTGGTGTTGGTCATCCGAGACCTGTAAATCGATAAAAAGCAAGGGTGTTCGGCGTGTAATCTAACCTTCATGCGCTCCGGTAGTGCTTGCGCCGTAGATTCTGCGGTACATGGTCATCGGAGGAACGGGTGTGTGTCCCGGAAGGCCTCGAATACGACCAACCACTACCGGGCTGGTGGTTGCAGAACCCAGTACTCCGGTAGCATATGCTATACGCCAGGTTTTGGATCAGGAAGACACCATGGGAAACCTGAGTCCCATTTTGCCAAGCCTTTGAGTGATCATCGTTCCTGCATCCAGGCAACACGCCTGATCCCACACGATGATGACACGAACGATGAAGGATCACGGTACCTACGATTGGACTTGACGCTATCGATAAGCAGCAAGCTACCAGGTGGGCGCGGCGCCTTTTTCTTGAATCATTCAAAAGGCTGACTGTAGGTCAATTTGGTGGTGTGAGAATCGTAGAATTGACGTTCGAAGAAGACCTAGATACGATGCCGCAGGCCCCTACGTTCGCGTCGGTACAGCCCGCTAGAGGTGGGCTTCGGCCGCAGGATCTGCCGAGCTAACCACATGCGCCCTCCATGGGTGAGCCGTGCATGCGTCTGACAAGCGCTGTGGCGCCATGGTCGCTGTTTTCTCGCAAAGGGCGTGCCGTCACGCGCGAGTGATGGGACGGTCCGTCGATGTGTAGAGACCATGTTTCCGCAGCGGGCCGACACTGTTCTGAGATTAGGAAGAAAATCAGCTGTATGAGATGCGCATCCAATCCACCATCTCACAGCTCTTTATAGATGTTACAATTTTTCGAGAATTACCAAACGACCCATCCGCTCCAAGAGCAAGGTTCGCAGTGTAGGTGTTCGAAGTAGCCGATAAGCCACTGCTGAAAGCGCGCGAAATCCTGAATCGCTGCTCCAGACCTGTCCCCTGCGTCGTCCAATGGATGCAGGGCCCACTCACTCATACAGTATCTTTCTGGATGCAACGCAGCATCATGTACCTTGTTCTCCCTAACGCTGGCCTTCTTCACACGTGCAAATCGAACGCCAGGTCCAGGCACAATGCATGATGGCCATGAGGTGCGTATGCTTGAAGACGCATGCGCGCTGTGGTACCTTGCCTTGAGGGTTTTGACGGAACATCTGCCACCTATCGGTGAGTTATGCGAGTAAGCAATGGAAGGATGACAGTGGGGTGTTCTCGCCACGAATGCAGGGTGGCAAGAAGGCTGTGAACTCCGACGAAAACGAACACCATGACTACAACACTCGGTCGTTGTCATATGATCAACGCTCGTGTGACCTCGGCTGCAAGGTTGAAGATCATACTAGACATGCCTTGATTCTGATAAGACCAGGGTGGCGTAGGCAGTATGATCTTCACGTGGGAACAGTGGGCAGTAGCGTTGTCATAGTAGGCTTGCTATAAGACACAAGTTTGCTTTGGCTCA